CATCTGTAATAAATCAGATTTTTTATTGAATGTTTGTCTTTTATCATAATAATAGAATACATTTTCCTGTTTCTTTGCATGTCTACTAAATTTTGGTTCAAAACTGGACTGCAGGAAATATAGTGATTCTGGATTCTGTTGTGTTCTCATGGTTTTTTTCTTGTGTGTGTGTGTGTGTGTGTGTGTGCGCGCGTGCACGTGTGTGTGTGGTTTCTTTTTTGTACACTTAATTTTTTATTTTCCATTCTAATAGGCAGTCAACTTGCCTGGACTCAAACTGAAAACTTTTTTCTCTTGTAATAGGAAGTAGTTAACTTCAGCTTTGAGGGCTCACTCTTTCAGTGGTTCCCTTGCTTAAATTTCCAACCATTCTTCCAGCCTTGAGTTCTGTCTCCTGATACTGTAAGCCCATAAGGCATTAGATTACTACTGCCCAAGCTATACATGGCCTGGAAATGAATTTCAGTTAAAAAGCAGCAAACAGATAGAACTTTCTCTATGTCTCTATGCAGCTCTGTTTCTGAACAGTAGATTCCTCTCTGGTCCCTGCCTAATTTTTTTACAGTGTTCCCTGGGTTCTCCCTTGTACATGCATAATTTAGTGTCTAGCTAGGAATTAGGGCAAAGTTCATACTTAGGTTTTATTATTCACTCTTACTGTAGTTTCTTGCTGATGAGTATTTTTCTTTAAACTTTCACTTTTTTTCTAGCCATGAACTTTTATTTCTGGCACCTTGAGCCAGTTAGACTATAAATTTTTTGTTGCCTTGACCCTGAAAGTTGGGGGGTGCCTTCAGGCCAGAATGTCACAAACTCATAATTCTTTTCTTCTCCAGTTGCAGTTTTAAAGAATAAACTCTCCAGTAGTTTCTCTCTGGTCTTGAGCATTTTAAATAGTTGGTAACTTAAAAAAATTTATCCAGGTCTGTATTAGTCTGTTCTCAAGCTGCTAATAAGGATGTACCAGAGACTGGGTAATTTAGAAAGGAAAAAGGTTTAATAGACTCACAGTTCCACATGGCTGTGGAGGCCTCACAAGTATGGTAGAAGCCTAGAGAGGAACAAAGGTGTGACTTACATGGAAGCAGGCAAGAGAGCATGTGCAAGGGAACTACCCTTTATAAAACCATCAGATGTCATAAGACTTATTTCCTGTCAAGAGAACAGCATGGAAAAGACCTGCCCCATGATTCAATTACCTCCTCATATATTGTGGGGTCCCTCCCACAACACATGGCAATTATGGGAGCTACAATTCAACATGAGATTTGGGTGGGGACACAGCCAAACTATATCATTCCAACCCAGCCCCTCCCAAATCTTATGTCCTCACATATCAAAACCAATCATGTTTTCCCAACAGTCCCCCAAAGTCTTCATTTCAGCGTAAACTCAGAAGTCCACAGTCCAAAGTCTCATTTGACACAAAGCAAGTCCTTTCCACCTTTGAGCCTATATAATCAAAAGCAAGTTGTTAATACACCCATTCCAAATGGGAGAAATTGGCCAAAATGAAGGCGATAGGGCAATGAAATCTTGTTTTTTTTTGAAAATGTAATTACTTTATTGATTTCTTACAATCAAATACTGCCAACTAGCATTACCCCCACTCTTGCATCATTAAAAACAAAGGGTATTTCCTCCTTGGTATTTTCAAATGATGCACTATACAATAAACAAAGTTAGAACTTAAAATGCACCCTGATTAATTATGTAAACTGGTAATTTGTTTAAAAAAGCATAATAATTTGCTTCCTTTCTTCATAAAATGGAAATTTAAATATTTCTCCTGGTAGTCTTGAGGTTATCATTATGAGTAGTGCAAAGTGTGGCACATATAGTTTCCTCTAGAAGGGTGTGTATCTTACACACCTTATTTAAACAAACAAAATGTGCATTAACAAAACGCACACAGTCAATGCATGATAGAAAGCTTGTTTCAAATAGAAGGCAGCCCCTTGGGCCACCGTATTATTTAAGTTTTGCATTATCATTTACGGCATTAGAGATTAATTACGCATAACATACTTTTAAACATTTTAACCCTGAAGATAAGAAAAATAATTGTTGCTTGAAAAAAATTATTCCAGGTAGCCATTTGGTTTGTATCAGGAGAAAGTGAACCCTCCATGAGTTTAGTGTCTGCCAAGTTGGAATCATTAGCACAAGTCAGTGAATCAGATACAAGACACATTTCACAGTGACTGTTTCCCAAGTCCTGGCAATGCCTCTTCTCTCACAGTCCGCCAGATGACAAAGCATTTCCGGGATGACCCTTCTATGTGGTTTTTCCCTTTTCAGTTTTTTTGCTGGATTAACTATTACTGTATTATTTCCTCTTCTCCCCTCCTCTTCTGTGGCCTTCCATTTCAATTATTCATAAATCCTTTCAGAATATCCTCAGAGAGCTCCATAAGGGGAAGTTCTGGAGAAGAAAAATCCAAGGGAGGAAGTCTGGGGATTGGAATGTCCTTGGCTTTCCCGGTATTTGCTGCAAACGTCTGCCAGGTTGAGGAGGCTGTAGCAGTTTCTGAATGTGGTGGCAAGCTCCGTATCTCTGACGTTTCTACAAAACCAGCATCTACATCCAGTTCCTTTTCTATTAGACCTTTTAGAAGTCTGGCCATTTCAGCCTTTAGTTGTTTATTTTCTTTCCTTAATATTTCATTCTCGGCCACAAGGAATTCCACATGCCTCTTCAAATCTGCAGTTTTGGTTGTCTGATCCTCTATAATTGTTTTATCATCTTTTGGGGCTTTTCTTCCAATACATGGCTCCACTGGCTCACTCTTTTGCTGAAGTAAATACAGTAGTGTATCTGGATCCCTGTCAAAGATCCCCTGAATCTCAGGCAGGCGTTTCTCTGTGGAAGGGTTGTACTTCTGAGAAAGGGGGCTCTGGCCCTCTGCATCCTCTGCAGAGGGTTTGTGAGATGCCTGAAGATGGGCAGCTACATCCTTGTCGGTGTTCTGCTGGGCTTTCAATCTTTCTTCACACTGGGCCCTTTTCCATCTCTCTTGGATGAGGAGGAGCTGTTTCATGTGGCTATCCCTTTGCAATTCCAGTGAAAGATGTGCCTGCTCAGATTGTGTCAGCTTCATGGCTTCAGAAAGATACGCGGCAGCCTTTTTGTGACAAGAAATAGCCTCTTCGTATTTGTCTGCAGCTAATAAACGGTCTGCTCGTCTGCTCTGTTGATGAGCCAGGTTGAGAGGTCCTTCCATTAGTTCCATAGACCCCGGGGCAAGTGGTGGCCTTAGGAAGGGAAGCAAGCAGTGGCGGCAGAACATGGAGGGGACCGCCAGGGAGCATGAGCAGCCGCGGACACCATGGCCCCTCTCTGTGCCCCAAGAGCCAGTGGTGGGCACAGAGGGAGCAACAACCTCACCACTTCCTCCTCCTGCACTGCACCATGGGCCCACCCCCTGCACCACTGCGACGGCCACGCACGGCGCCAGGACCGGCAGTGAAATCTTAAAGCTCCGAAATTATGTCTTTTGACTCCATGTCTCACATCAAGGTCATGCTGATGCAAGAAGTGAGCTTCCTTGACCTTGAGAAGCTCTGCCCCAAGGGAGGTTTTCAGAGTACAGCCCCCTTCTGGTTTCTTTCATGGCTGGTATTGTCAGTGGCTTTTCCAAGCACACAGCACAAGCTGTCAGTGGACCTACCATTCTGGGATCTGGAGGACTGTGGCCGTCTTCTCACAGCTCCACTAGGCAATGCCCCTGTGGGGACTCTGTGTGGGGGATTTGATCCCACATTTTCCTTCTGCACTGCCCTAGCTGAGGTTCTGCTAAGGGCCCCACCCCTGAAGCAAACTTTTGCCTGGACATCCAGGTATTTCCAAACATCCTCTGAAATCTAGGCAAAGGTTCCCAAACCTCAATTCTTGACTTCCATGTACCCACAGGCCCAACACCACGTGTAAGCTGTAAAGAACTGGTGCTTGCATCCTCTGAAGGAACAGCCAGAGCTGTGCATTGGCCTCATGGCTGGAGCTGAAACAGCTGGGATGCAGAGTACCACATTTGAAGGCTGCATAGAGTATGGGGGTCCTGGGCCCAGCCCACAAAACCATTTTTTCCTCCCAGGCTTCTAGGTTTGTGATGGGAGGGGCTGCCGTGAGGGTCTCTGACATGCCCTGGAGACATTTTCCCCATTGTCTTGGTGATTAGCATTTGGTTCCTCATTATTTATGCATATTTCTGCAGCTGACTGGAATTTCTCCCCCCAAAATGGGGTTTTCTTTTCTACTGCATTGTCAGGCTGCAAATTTTCCAAATTTCTATGCTCTGTTACATCTTGAATGCCTTGCTACTTAGAAATTTCTTCTGCCACACACCATAAATCCCAATTTCAAAGTTTCGCAGATCTCTAGGGCAGGACAAAATGCTGCCAGTCTCTTTGCATAGCAAAGGCAACCTTTATTCCAGTTCCTAACAAGTTTCTCATCTCCATCTGAGACCATAATAGCCTGGACTTTATTGTCCATATCACTATCAGCATTTTGGTCAAAGCCATTCAACAAGTCTCTAGGAAGTTCCAAACTTTCTCACATTCTCCTGTCTTCTTCTGAGTCCTCCAAACTGTTCCAATTTCTGCCTGTTATCCAGTTCCAAAGTCACTTCCACATTTTCAGGTATCTTTACAGCAGCACCCCACTCCTTGTGCCAATTTAATGTATTAGTCTGTTTTCATAAAGACAGATGCTAATAAAGACATACCTGAGACTGAGTAATGTAGAAAGAAAAGAGGTTTAATGGACTTACAGTTCCATTGTATTAGGGAGGCCTCACAGTCGTGGTGGAAGGGAAGGGAGGAGCAAAGCCATGACTTACTTGGTGGCAGGCAAGAGAGTGTGTGCAGGAGAACTCTCCTTTATGAAACCATCAGATCTCATGAGACTTATTTAATATCACAAGAATAGCATGGGAAACACCTGCCCCCATAATTTGAATACCTCCCACTGGGACCCTCCCACGACATGTGGAAATTATGGGAGCTACAATTCAAGATGAGATGTGGGTGGGGACACAGCCAAACCATATCACGGTCTTAAAATTGTTACCTGTAAAAGGATTTGCATGACTATTTCATACTGGCACATTATTGGCAGTTCTCTAAGTGTAGTGTATTTTGTGTGTGTGTGTGTGTGTGTGCGCGCGCGTGTGTGTGTATATATGTTTGAGACAGAGTCTCATTCTGTCACCCAGGCTGGCATGCAGTGGCCTGGATCTAGGCTCACTGCAACCTCTGCCTCCTGGGTTCAAGCCATTTGCATGCCTCAGCCTCCTGAGTAGCTGGGATTACAGGCGTGCACCACCATGCCTGGCTAGTTTTTGTATTTTTAGTAGAGATGGGGTTTTGCCATGTTGTCCAGACTGGTCTTAAACTCCTAGCTTCATTTTATCCACCCACCTCAGACTCCCAAAGTGCTGGGATTATAAGTGTGAGCCACTGCATCTGGCCTAAGTCTAGTTTTAATTTGTATTTCTTTTATCACGAGTGAAGTTAAACATCTTTTCATATTTTTAGGTGTATTCTTACATCTATATAAATAATTCATTGTCTTTTACCTATTTTTTTTTTTAACCAGGTCTTTGGTCAACTTTTTCACTTGAATTTTAAAGAATTCTTTGTATTTTACAGACACCAGCCCTTTGTGTGCTATTTAGTGCAAATACTTTCTCTCCATTTGTCATTTGTCTTTTGACTTTGTTTATGATGTCTTTGGAAATACGTTTTTAAAAAATAAATTTTTATCTAGTCAAGGTTAGCAACATTTTATTGCACCTGGATTTTGAATTATAGTTGGAAAACCTTTCTCTACATCAAGTTATAGAGGAATTCACTCAGGTTTTCTTCTAGTACCTGTCTGCTTTCAATTTTTTTTTACATTTAGGACTTTTATCCATTTGGAATTTATTCTTCTATGTGGTATTGTTGGGATTCACTTGGAGTGGCTGGCAAAATATTAAGGAAATATTAGGGGAAGTTAGAAGATTACAGTCTCAAACCTTTTGAAAGGCTGAAAGGTTTTAATGGAACAGGCTGAAGGTAGCCAGTTCATTACATTAGAATTTTAAGTCATAGGGTAAAAGATAGGGACAATAAAGCTTCCCCAGTTAGTTCTGTTTACCCCACATCCCTTTGTCTCTACTCTGTTTGCTCATGTAAACTTTGTGCTGGATAGCTGGTGTTTACTCTGAGCCCCAGAACCTAAAGCTTTTAGCATTCATAAAATCACTCTTTTAACCATGTTAATTATCCACAAGCATGTTGACTTGGAATCTGTGTTATTGAACCTATACCGAATAAATGTGAGGAGGTACAGGGAGTTATGGTCAGTTAACTGCATTCACCCTCTGAAAGCATTGATGACCATCCCTAGTCCACTCAAATCACGGTACTAGATGTGAGAGTATATTCATTCATCTGTCATTGAGTCAGCGGCTGCAGGACAGAGCTCCGCAGGTGGTGATTGATGTCTCGTGATGTGAGGCATAGATCCTTATTGTTTTTCCAATGCGTATCCATTGTCCTAGCACTTGTTATTAAAGTTTCAGTAATTTGAGATGCCACCTTTATAATATACAACATTTCCAAATATGGTCAGCCCTCTGTATCCTCAGGTTCTGCATCTATGGATTCAACCAACTGTGGATTGAAAATTATAGTATTCATGGCAT